GGCGCAAAGCCTCGGAGCCTGGAGCGAGCTCCCGCGCGCCCCGGGACCCCCGCCCGGAGCCGCCTCCACCCTCTGGAGGCCCTGGGACAGCCGGCGGGGCCCGGCGGTGGCGGCTGTGGGGGCGTTTCCAGCCACCCCACCTCAGTTTGGGCTTCTCCGCAGCGCTGATCCACCAGGTCTAGGACCACTCCCTCCTCCAGCTGGGACTGGGAGAAGCTGAGAAACCCTATCCCAACTCGAAGCTCTTATCGCCTCCCCTGCCCGACGGCTCTCCCTCCTCACTGCGTAGGAACGCCTCAGGCTCCAGGACCCTTCTGTTTCAGCCTCCCTCCTATCTCACTTCACCGCTGCCGGGTGATAGAAGGAGGCCAGGGACAAACCCCCACGCAGGCACATGGTAGGGTTCGGTAATTCCTGGGTGGATGAATGGGAAGAGGGGGACACACAGGACGATGCCAACTGAGCTAAGTCAGTTTGGCTGTTCAGCAATCATCAGTTATTTTGTGTCCCCTTTTCCACAATCTCACTAACTGGTGGTAGATTATAATAAAAGCAAACATTCTACTAAATGCTGCCAAACATGCAATGTTTATTAGCAAGGAGATGCAAAAGCCACCATGTAACCTGTTCTTGTAGTTTGGGGGCAGGCAGTACCGATTAGCTCTGTGAAAGGGTCAGCTGGAGCCTGATACATGTTTCAACCGCAGGCCCAATCCCTATAGCTGGCTGAAGCCACCAGTACCTCTGAAGTGGAGCACACAACCAATAGACTCCAAACCTCCAGCATGACTCTGAGACGTTAGGCTGCAAGACTTGCAAGAGCCTTTAACCATCTGTTAAAAAAAAAGAGACAACAGGCTCCAAATGGAGTTCCTAGTGCTAAATGCACATTAACAAACCAAGACTTAATACCTAACCTAATTGCAGTTTCAGCCTCTCCCAGGAATGTAATCTTAACCAGTCAGTCTGGAATTTCCTGGTCAGTACGAGTGAGGTAATCTGCCTGGTAGGCCCCTACCAGCCCCCCGAGGAAGGTGGCCTTGCCTAAAAACACTCCACTCTTTGCTAAATCACTTACTTGTCCCACCCCCTTTCTGCTTTTAAATTGTTTCCTTTTCTACAGCCCTTCTGAGCTCCTTTCTGTTTGGTACATTGGATTGGCTACCTAATTCATGAATTGTTGAATAAAGCCAATTTGATCTTTAAATTTACTTGGTTGAATTTTGTTTTTTAGCTGTGGCAACCTTGTATCAAGCAAATCTATCAGAACCATTTTTCCAACAGGCTCAAATGATGATTAGCATTTTTTGGCAATAAAATATTTTTAAATTAAGTTATGTACATTGCTTTTTTAGACATAATGCTATTGCACATTTAATAGACTACATATAGTGTAAACATAACTTTTATGTGCACTGGGAAACCAAAAAAATTATGTAACCCACTTTATTGCAATATTTACTTTATTGCAGTGGTCTGAAACCAAACCCGCAGTATCTCCAAGGTATGCATGTATATATTTGGTCTTCAGCCCTGGTCCAGCCTTCCTAAAAACCTTGGAATTTCCTAATCCATTGAGAGCCATAAATATGTCTTTTGGTATTTTAATGAGTGACTTTTGGATGGAACCCAAGGATGTGGGCTGATTGCCAGGATAATCAACCTTATGATTAGAAGGTTGAAATTTTCAGTCCCAACCCCCTGACTTCCAGGAAGGGGAGAGCAGGAACTGAAGATTGAATCAATCACCAATGGTCAATGATTTAATCAATCATACTGTCAAGTGAACTCAGAAAAAGTCTGAAGGCTTTGGCTAGAAATAAATGATAAAGATTTATTCAAGGGTCTTAGGGTTTGCACACGGAAACACAACTAGGCAATACCCAGAGTGTTCTGAAGAAGAAAGAAAAGCTAAGAGTTCTTATAGTGAAAAGCACATCCTTGAGAAGAATCAGTCTGATATTCTTAGCCTCTGGATTGCTTCAAGATGGTAATCCTTAGATGTCAGGTGGCCTGGATACATGAATATTCTATCCTTAGTCTTTCCTGGGGTAATCAGAGACTTATTTGGAGGTTTGGTGTATATCCAGGCATTGTTAAAGGACTGGAAGTTCAAAATTTAAGTTCCCGGGCTAGTTAAAATAAGGATAGAATCATTTCTTCATGCCTCAACCTATTTTATTTTAGTAATTTAGCAGCTTAACTATAGTGACTTTATTTCATTTCTTCACTATTCCTCAATGCCTACTGTGGACGAAAAGGGGTCACATACTAAACCTGACAAGCTCGGGGGGGCCTGCGTGGTGGGCCTTACAAACTCAGAGACCTAAAGTAACCACATAGGATGGTCTGAAATTAAAACTTGCTAGCTAAAAGTAAGTCATGGAGGGTAGTCATGTCCTAAGCCAGTATATTTCTTAACAAAGGTCAATCTTTGCCTTAACTGAACCTACGTCTTTTTTGCATCTATGATAACATACCTTTGGAGTGTCAGAGTAATCCCCTTTTTCCAGATCCCTCAGGGCACAGCCTCCCACTAGAAAAGGAGACCACAGAGCCCCGCACTGTTACTTTGTTCTCCTGCATACAATCCCTATGTGCTGTAAATGTTACTTATTAACTATTCTGTACCCTCCAATGTAAAAGAAGTATTTGTCCCTTCATTTTTGTATCAATGTCAGAGATTTCTCTGCTTTGTTTTCTTTGTCTTATCATTTTAGTTTGTATCCAGTGTCAGAGATTTCCCCCGCTTTGCTTTCTCTCGCCTCCCCTATCTATCATCAGCAAATTTCATGTAACCCTCCTTATGCCTCCTCCTTTGATTGTAATGTACAAAATAAGATGCAAAACTGCCATTCTTTGGAGCATTTCTCAATCCATTGAGATTTTGCTTCCCAGCAATTGTTGTCAGTTTGGGTCATAAAAATTCTTACAGGTTTGGACATGTCTTGCATCAACCCTATGTAATACAGCCTCCAGAAAAAAACTAAAGTTCAGAGAGCTCCTGGGTTGGTGAACACTTGGAGATTCAAGGAGAGGAGAGCTGTGCACTCAGAGAGAGCATAGGAGCTCTGAGCCCCTTTCCCCATGCCCTATGCATCTCTTCCATCTGGCTATTCCTGAGTTATATCCTTTTATAATAAACTGGGTACCTAGTGAGTAAATGGGTTTCCTGAGCTCTGTGAGTTTCTCTAGCAAATTAATTTAACCCAGGGCGTAGGTCATGGGCACCTCCAATCTGTAGCTGATGGGTCAGGAGCATGGTAACAACCTGGGCCTAGATTGGCCTCTGATGTTGTGGGTGGGGGGCAGTCTTGTCAGAATAAGTTCTCAACCCGTGGAATCTGATGTCATCTCTGGGTAGACAGTGTCAGAGCATGGCTTGTTGGTGTAGGAAAACCTACCCCCCACAAACGTTGGAATTGGGTCCAGAACCTTTAGCACTGAAGCCTTTTTAAAGTAAATCACCATGCAACCACAATAGCACAGATATACAGAGCTAAACGGAGAAGGGCCACGAATTTGGTCAAGGTCTTGTTTATCAGGTGTCCTTAGGCATCAACCTCTTTACTATAGGAAGAGGAGGGCCAGGATTCCTTCGTGCAGCATTCTCCAAGTACAAAACAGTTATTTGGTTTTAAATGTGTCTCCATTTTTCCTGGAATCCCGAGTTCTGCAGTTTTTCTCAGTCCCAGCAGAGAGCGGCCTTTCTGCATTTATGCTCCACTTGTCATCTCGGCACAAGCATCAGACTCCCAAGTGTGAGCAGAACCAACTCTTAAAGCTTTCATGACCCACATAAATTCCCCAGGCTGCAAAAATTAAACCCTCTAGATAGATAATTTTGAAAAGCCAACAAGAGGACTCACCGAAGAAAGGCTTGAGGATCTGTGGTGAGGACATCATTTGACCTCTAGCAATAAACCTGACACCAAAGATACTGAGGTGAGCTCTTCCTCCTCCCCAGTCCTACGGTACAGCTATGGGTCCAAAGTTGCCTCGGCCAGGTTCTTGGAGAGAGAACTTTCACTGGGGTGAAGGAACTGCAGGGAGTGGCCTCTGGCTCCATGGCCCTCTCTTTATGTTACCTTGGGAGAGTTGAATGGTGACATGTATCAGGGTAGTTCAGGGGCGTGGCCAAGTTCCCTGCTCCAGTCTAAAATAGGGAGGCTGAGGATTTTCCAGGCTGTTCCACTAGGGTACAGGAACCCCCTTGGGACCAGTGGGCTGTGATAGATAGCACATCAGATTAATAAAAGACACCCACCCAGCCAGCGTGGTTCAGTGGTTGAGTATTGATATGTGAACCAGAAGGTCACGGTTTGATTCTGGTCGGGGCATATGCCTGGGTTTCAGGCTCAATCCCCAGTAGGGGGCGTGCAGGAGGCAGCCAATCAATGACTCTCTCATCATCGAGGTTTCTGTCTCTCTCCCTCTCCTTGCCTCTCTCTGAAATCATTAAAAAAATAATTTAAAAAAATTTTTATTTTATCTTTATTGATTTCAGAGAGAGGCAGGGAGAGGAAGAGGAAGAGATAGAAACATCAAGGTTGAGAGAGAGAGTCATTGATCGGTTGCCTCCTGCATGCCCCCAACTGGGGATCGAGCCTGCAACCCGGGCATGTGCCCTGACTGGGAATCGAACCTAATCTCCTGGATCCTAGGTCGACGCTCAACTGCTGAGCCACACCCGGCTGGGCTAAAAAAATAATTTTTTTAAAAAGTGTGAACTTGGGTAATATAAACCTTTAAAAAAATTAAACTAAAAGACACCCTCACACACCTCATTTAAGTGCCTCACATATACTTTGAGCTACTAGAGTTATAGGCTGGTTACAGTAGCATTATAAAAGAGTCTGAAATAAATGTTTCCCTGTATAATAACTAAGGTAGCCAGTTAACACTGAAAATATCTTCCCCTTCTTCCTCAGCTGCTCCAGTAACTCCCCCATTTATGCCCTATCCTAACAGGATCAAGAGTTGTTTGCATGTCCATGGCCCTGTTAGACTGTAAACTCTGCGTATGGGTCACCATCTCGTCCTCACCACCTGTTGCAGGACCCATGTTTGACATTTGGGGACAGAATAATAATACAGTGTTAGAGATGCATCCTCCTCTGTGGCTGGGTCTTTGCACAGCCTTGATCCCCACCTCCCTCCTCTAAGTGGAGTCAAATTCAGAGATTAATATCTCCCAGGTTCATCCTAGAAATACAGATAAGCCCTTCAGAATATCTGGGTTTTTTCTTTATCTGTAGCTAGTGTGTGAAATTCTTTGAGTGGTAGAAACCACCTTCCAAATTCATTTATCTATTCTTTTAATCACTAAATGATACTAATACTAATTAGCACTAATTAGTACTTCTGATACTAATTGTATGAAGCACTGAGTAAGGCACTGTTGGGAAAACTGATGTGTATAAAATAAAGATACTTCCATTTATATATGACATATTTATTTGTGCATATCATGTTTGTACGTATGTATGATGTAGCTGGAAGAGTTAAGGAAGAAAAAACCACCCAGCCACCAAACCAAAAAATACATCACTCTAGGTCATATGTAAAAATCCTTTATTGAGGAAACCAGGGGGATCTAGTCCATGCCGGCTGGAACTGGGGGTGCTCACTATGCACTTTCTACATCAGCGCTGGGTGGAGGGGGCGGGGAGAAGCCTAAGCACAGGAACATAACAAGGCTGGGAAGAGAAAGGGAAATAGGGGTGCATGCACCTGGGGATTCGGAGAGCACATCAGGGTGTCTTCGTGATGCTGCCCAGGAGTCTAGAAATGGAGTGTTGAGGACAAAAAAAAAAATGAAATCACATCTTCTGTCCTGTAAAACTCCCACCAACTACCCGCGGGGGAAGCAGGAGAAGGGGGCGGGCATCCGTAAGGGACAAGGAGAGAGAACAGAAGTCTTAGGCACAGCTGTCCCTCAGCCCTTAACCAGAGACGGAGCTCTCCTGGCCGCAGGCGCCTGCACCTTCCCAGCTGCGTATTTCTGAGCTACTTATAAACACCTGTGCTCATGGTCTGTGGGGCCCATACAAAAAATGTAGCGACAAAAACGAGGTTTGTATTATCCTAGCATCCCCATGAGCCAGGCATACACACAGCCCCATCCAATGCACCCTGGTGCTAATGCTCCCCCAGACTCACCCAGTCCCTCCTCCTCTTTCCAGACCCACCCCCCTCCCCAGCAAGGACAGGCCCAGGGATCACTTCCTTTTTCAGCAGTTTCGCATGAATGAAATAAGATGATGCAATGATCTTTGTTGATTCATCTCATCTAATCTCCTTTAAATGCCAGCCCCCGGGAACGTTATGTCCTATTCTTCCTGGCACCTAACAGGCTGAGAAGGCTCCATCAGTGGCGAGGTTATGAAGACTGCAATTATGGGCCTAGTCCCTCTGAAAGAGCCTCGCTTCACCAGCAAGCAGTAAAAGTAGATTTCCACAATGCACTTGTTTCTGCTATTTGTATAAAATACTATGGCAAAATTGCACTGTAATTATCTTTATGGCTGATGCATAACGCTGGGGAAGAGTATGTCATCTAGATATAGTTGCCCGTGTAATTATCTGGCGGTCGGCAGGATTGAAATAACCATCTAATGAGAGCAAAATGATACGGCAAGTACCATGTAATCAGCGAGTTACGATTATTATGGCTCTTTGCGCCCTCTCACCCAACACTGAATGGGGGGGCCAGACCTCATCTCTGGGTCCAGGGAGTCATGCACAGGGAGTTTAATCAAGACTCAGCTCCTGGGCTTTGGGTCTCCCTTGAGACCAATGAGTGTGGGTAATAGGGACACAGGGAGGGGGGCAACAGTCTCTCTCTGATAACTGAGGCTTCTGAATCCCTCTTCTTCTCTCCCCCACCACCTCTTTCTTTGGAAGCCAGCGCATCAGTTGAGCTGCTATTGCCGCGTGTGGAAAGAGGGTGCCTAGCTGGAAGGTTCTGTGTTTTGACTAGACACTTCCCTGGGGGACTCACACTTGCATACCAAGTGCGAGATCCTCAGCTCACTCAGGCCCAGGATCAGCCCAGACTGCTCTAGGCAGACAGACCAGAGCCAGTCAGGGGAAGCACTAGGATGGTCCCCGCACCTCCCAGATGCAATAATCATAACAAAGCCGACACAGAGGGCTATGCCCGACTCTGTTCTGAACACTTTACCTATACTCAATCCTCAAATCCACAGCTCTGCAGCATCCTATTATCACCCTCATTTTTCAGGTGGGGAAAGTGAGGCACAGGGGGTTAGGTGATTTAGCCAAGAAACACAGCTAGTGAGTGGCAGGGCAGGATTCGAACTCAGGCCGAGCTCTTATCCATTACACTACACAGAGTGACTAAGGTACAGTTTCCAGCTACCGGACCTCCCCCCCCCATGAGATTCCAGTAGTTCGTTGCATTTCTTCCTAGATCACTCTTGTGGAGAACTACACACTCGACCCAGTAAGTGGAGATTCTGAATAATCTGAATGGTTCAGCCTGCTTGGGAGGCAAACACTTCACCTGTGAGCTGGATGTGGTACCTGTGATTATCAGATGATGATCTCCATCTTTTGCACAGATCAGGAGAGAACGGCATCCAAATGACAGAAGTTGCCCATCAGAGAAGCACCAGGGGACAGAGATGAGATGGAAAAAAGGGCCTGGCTGTGTGTGTC